ATCTCCCCATTGTATCTTGAGAAAGCTCCCTGTTGCCTGCCTTACAGACTGCAGCTTCAGCCTAGTACTGCCTCTTGGTTCTCTTCCCAGCACAATATATTAAGCAGAGAGAAACGCCCCCCATTATCATCCTGTTGATATGTGCTCCTACATAAACAGCCTACACAGCCCTTCTCAACTAAGCAGCACCAAGCCAGACACACACACACACAAATAAATAGTTCAGAGAACTGTAAAGGAAGGAAACCTGTATGTCATCCGGATTTGCACTGATAACCAGGGATTGTCAGTTATGCTAACTCTTAAAACCTGAATTTCTCATCTACATATGTTTCTGCTACAATCCCATTACACCATACTACAATAACCATATAGTTAAAGAGCTGCTGCTTTAGTTGAGAAGAAAATAAATAATATATAAAAGGAAATTTTTTTTTTTTTTTTGCTAGAAAGAGACTCCAAAACTGAAACAACCAGTGTTGGAAAAATCTGCCATGTGCTAACAAAGAGACAAGACAAGGAGAATTCAAATACAATGTAAAATGTGTAATACAGTACACTAAGTTAAGCTTACACATTCATATCTGCAATACATTCATGCTAAATAAAAACTAAGACTCTGTACTGTGCAATGCTACTGCTGTTAAGTACCAATACATATCAAAGTCACAGCTGAAAATTAATTTGTAGAGAAGCCTTTTCAATAAGCACAGAAAATGCACTGCTCAGTGTATACAAACTTTTTAAAAGCAAAATGCACCAGATTTCTAGCAGAAATGGAAACAGATTTACAATAATTAGCGTCAATAGCAATCTAGAAAGTTTCATTTTGTCAGTCAGTCCTAAAGCAAGGAAAATTAGGCAGCCCTCTCCTTTTCAAGCCTAGTGAATAAAGTAATAAATCATTTTGTGAAGCTAGCTACAAACCAAATGCAAGTATACAGAGACTGTCTCATAAGCAAAAATCAAGTTACAGCCCTCATTCCTGATTTGACCCTGCAGGAAAAGGAATCCTCTCCAAAGCATCAGTATAGTTTGAACAATAATTTCCTATGATTATCTTATACCCCTCCTCCATGAAATGTAAAGCCTTAAATCAAAGACAGAGGGAGAAAATAAATGGTTCTTCTATCACCCAAAAGTAAGATCAAGTCAACGATCCACAAAGAAGGTCTTTCTGAATCTGAATTGAGGCTGAAGCGGATGAAGATTTTATTTAGACAAGGTTTCATAAGGCAACTGGCTCTGACCACTCACTGATTGAAGCGGGCAGCCTTGCTCCCTTCCCCAAACCCTTTCTTTGCACTGACTCTCCCTAAGGGAGACAGTTGGGCCCACCAAACAGAGAGAAAACCCACCCCGAACAACATCAGTGTTTTGCTGCTGGTTCAGCAAGCTGGACTGGCTCAACCAGAGGTTAAACAGCACCAAAGCCAGAGAGAGGGAATAAGAGCATGGCACCAAAAGGGCGCTACATTGCGAGACCATCATTTTCAGCTGTCACTAGATCAGCTCAGTTCATGGAAATCACCAGTTCTCCTTAACAAGAGATCATTGTACATGTCTAGCCTTAAAGCCAAACTTGCAGAGGAATGAAAGGGAAAGCCCAATAACATTCAGTGCTGTCCTGAACTACATGCTTAAGGAAAGTAACCACATCTCATTCTATTACAATTTAATTTTTCTTAACTATACATTCACTTCTCAGTGGATACAAATGAAAAGGCAGAAGTTTTTTTTTTTTTTGGGGGGGGGGAGCAGTGGGGAGGAAAAAAAAAAAGTTAAGCTGTGCAAGGAGAAAAAAAATCTCCTTCCTTCTGGGCTTTGAGGAAGATAACTTAATTGTGAAATAGTAACTTTAAAAAAAAAAAGATGAAAAAAATTGTGAGAAAAGTACCTATTTGCTTTACAGAGCCTCTAAGGACAGACTGACATGCAGTCTAACACTCTTTTCTATCTCTTTTCTGAGCTATTATCAACATCTATCTGCATTACAAGCTCCCCACCACCCATCCTGGGAGCTAGAAATTACTTTTAATCCAAGTTTCTTGGAAGAAGGATCAAGGTTTAAGAACGATCCCTAGAAATGCTGATCCTTACACAGGTTTCATTTCCTAAATAAAACACATACACCATCAATCTAGGTAAAAGGACATTTTTTTATACAGCAAACAGAGCAGACACAGCGTATTTAGCATCCAACGGAAATAAAAAAGAATTAAGTTCAATTTCAGTGATTTTATCCTTTCAAGAAGTGTGTTTGACTTAGTATTCAGATTATTTACTCTTAAATAACATTCATGACTTAAACCTGACTCTTACTTGATGCATACTGATCTGCAATGGATTATTGATGCAAGAACTATATAGGTATCTAACAGATAACCCTCTTTAAAATACAATCTTCATGATTCTTTCACTCATTTTATTAAAAGTATAATATTTTATTACCAAGAATTAAAAAAAAAAAACTGAAACCACAGATATATACAACACATCTTCACTAACACCATCTTGTTGTTTAATAATTTAATAACTTAGCCAAAACAATGATATTTTAATCTTAAAGTAATTAGCAAGAAAAAAAGAGGTTTAGATAATTATAGATAATTATGAATTAACAGTTAAAACTGAACTAAAGTTATTAGTCAGCATCTATATACAGAGGATGACAGATTGGTCCGTCTTAAATTGAGAAAGCCTCCCACTCCCACAGAGAACGGTATTGGGAGAGTTTGATAGTTCGTCCTGTTTGTTATAGACTATTAATACAGGTAACAATAACACTCTTCTGATAACCACAAAAATGTAGCTTCTGGTTTTGAAAAACTCAAATATTCATATCAAAAGCTGTCAGCCTGTTTTCATGTCAACTTTCTACGTAGATAAAACACTGACTTCCAACTGAATAATTACAAAATAAATTCCCAAGAAACAAGTGTTCTAAGTTTAACACAGACTATATCCCCACTTCCAGTTAAATGATTTACTTTATACTTGTTTTTACTCATTTCATCTTTTTCTTTAGGCCCACTATACTAAAGTTATGTATTATATGTATAGAATATGCTGTAAGAGTTCACCAAAATAAAATCTATTCTGAATATGGCTTACCCTAAAAACAGAAAAACAATGCATTTAAGGCTGTAGCAGGTATGCCCAAAAGCTCACAATACAGCGCACCAGTATTTTCAACTACCGCATAACACAAAAATAGCTTCTAGCGTCCCTCGTTAAAAAAAAAAAAAAAAGGCATTATAAAAATGTCTTTGAGCTTATTGTTTTAACTTGAAAAAGTTATTCAGTTCCCTATCTTCAATGCACTTCCAGGTTTTACATTTTTTATTCTTTGGAGTGTGGTGAGAGATGACTAAGACAACTGTTAAGAATCACATGTACAATTATAGACTACATGAGGGCCTGCTCAGTAATATAAACTAGAGAAATCTGCAGCTATTTTGTATGGGGTAAAAAAAAAAAAAAAAAAAAAAAAAAGGAATCCAAACATGGCAATAATTTAGGAGACAGATTTTTACAGATATTAAGTGCCACCCACAATATCTTGTAAGCATCAAAGATAGCAATTGCATATAAATAGCAATCACTGTTTGATACAAAACGCTCATCAGGTAACCTACAACATAACTAGATTATTAAAATTCATTAAACTGTGAAACCAAAATCTGTAGACAGGTTGTTTTTTTTCCCTTATTTTCTTTTCCTCCCCACACATTTATACAGGACAGAACAGATCTGTCAAGCCACAGTCAACAGATACCCAGCCAGCCGTTATTCTTCAGACCGTGCTTACATTTTGTATAGGTGAAGGAGTGATGTGGGCACTAATTTAGGACTTGGCAGATCACATATAATTCCTTCCTTGTCTACAAGCTTCCTGCGTGACCTTGGGCACGTCACTAGCTCCCTGAACCTTCATTCCTGTTGCATAGGGGGTTACAAGCAAGAAGGTTCTCACAGATACTCACATTATGTCAGCTGAGTCTCAAATATATAAAACAATATTGACTTTTCAAAACAGAAAGCTGACAATCACAATGTCTGTGTTTACATCTACTGAGTGATATGCACTCACAGTGCATGACAAACTCTGAATGCCCCACTAAACCCCATGAGAACAAGGGCCCTAGGAAACAACAGGTAAAAGAAGTTTGATTACAAATACAGTGCACCAATACATCAAATATACATACCGCTAGCCCTGCATCAAATATTAACATTTAGAGAGGTTGAATCAGTGTTTCTTCCCTGTAACAGCAACTTTCTATGCGTTAAATATCTGACATGTAAAACTCAGCTCATTACACTGCTCCCATTTAGAGACAACCCTAGAACCAGGCCACACCTCAGAGCCCCGATAAAGGCCTAAAATTAAAGTGAAGGCTGTTAACTACTGGGTCACAGCTGGGAAGATCGCCTCATCCCGGGAGCAGGGATTTGACACCACCACAACCATTAGTGTGCAGCAGCCTCAGGCCTAAGGCAGCCGGCGAGCAGCCCGAGGCTGCCTTGCTGGTGCGAGGACAGCTCTCACTGCTGCTCGCCAAGAAGGGGCCGCGCAGCCAACCCGTCGAGGAGGCCCCCCGTGTGGTGCTGACAACCGCGCCTGACGCAGCCCGTTAGCCCCGAGCCAGCCCTACGCGCC